ATTTAAGGGCTTTTGGGCCCAGTTTGTCTCTTTTAGGACCCAAAACATAAACAAACACGTACTACCAAAGCTTTGAGAGGTATGGGAAACAAAGGAGTATCGAGAAGTAGCATTTGGATAGGCCAATTGCCTTGAAGAACTCGTGACGGCATACGATTTTATCAAGAATGCTGCAGAAAAAACCACCTCAAACTATAGGATTTTTGGGACATTTATTCCAAACAATGGAGATTGAGTGACATCCAACAAGTGTTGACTTTTCTCTTAGTGATCCGATTTGCTTAAGAGTGTAACGATATGTTGTCTAGAACTCTATACCTCCCTCTAAGTAATCTCTGAGATCCTTGGAGACATATTCACCGCTATTGTCAGAACTGAGAACTTCAATACTTGCATTATATTGTGTTCGACCATTTTGTGATAATCTTGAAAAAGAGTTGCAACTTCATCTTTATGTTTCATTAAATAAAGTATGGTTAGTCTAGTGCAATTATCTGCAAAAGTAACAAAGAAACAAAAACCAAAAAGAGATACAACTGGGGAAAGCCTCCACACATCATAATATATAATAGAGAAGGGAGAGTCACTCCTTTATTACTGATAGGAAAGGACATTCTACGATGTTTTGCTAACTGACAAGCCTCACACTGTAACTGAACTTGACTTAACAAAGGAAAACTTTTAGGAAACAAGAATTGCAAAACAAATAGAGGAGAGTGACCAAGGCAGGTTCGCCACATATACACCTGTTATTTAATACCAATTTCTGACAAGCTAGTGGTTAGTGTCTCTGAAGGATTCTATTTTGATGCCTCTAGAAGGTACAACCCTCTAGCCTCAAGACCAGCCCAAATGTCTTCCCTAGCACCAAGTCTTGAAAGGTAATACGATAGGAAAAAGGTTACACAACAGTTCAAAATTTTTGTACGATTACTAATAGATAAGTAATTATTAGATAACTTGCGAATATACAAAGTGGACAACAAATCTATGGAGGAAGTTAGTGGAACAGTCCCTTTCCCACTAATGGGTACAAGGTATCCATAAAAAATCTTTACAGACTCATGGTTTGAAGAGGTAGCATAATTAGAAAAAAGATTGGACATACCAGTCATGTTCAGAGGCTCCTACATCAATAATCCAAGGAGAGTAATAAGTCATGGAAAAATGGTGTGCAGATGCCAATTAGAGGAGGAGAAAGCTCAAGATCATGAGTGAGGGTACGCTGGTTAAAGCCAGGAAACTTTCGCTTGGAAATCGTCACAAAATCATCTTCAGGTAAATGAGGAATGTAGTCACAAAGTGGACACATCAGCATCTTATTGTCGAGCCACAACAGTCTCCTCATTAGTCACACCAGCATAAGCCCTAGATGTATTCTATTTAAGGCGTCCAATGAGATCCCTACATGTTTCATTGGTGTGCCGAGATTCCCACAATGAGTACATTTTTAGCTTATCATTTTCATCAACTGTGAAGCCCCTAAGTCACCACTAGGCCTCCACCTCGACCACCACTACAGCCACCACTAAGAGTTGGAACTTAGAACTGATCTTTCAGGTTTACTAATGGATACAACCATAATTTTTCCGGCAAGTTTCTTCACATTGACGAAGGGGAAAAACCATACCAAGTGATGGTAAAGTTTTGCCACCCAAAATATCAGATTTGATATTTTCACATTGGGGATTAAGGCCTTCTAATCAAATATCTTCTTTTGTTCCACCCTTGCTCTATGCTCTTTTACACAATTGGAGAAGTTTATGGGTTGGTACTTGGTAGTGATTTAGCTCATCCCTTAAACCCCGTAAAGCAGCATAACAGTGTTTGAAATTGCTTATTTGTTGCTCCAACTATAAATTTTTGCTATATTCTTCTTTCATGAATAGGCTTCAGCCACTGCATCCAATAACTTGTTTGAAGTATTACAATTCATGAAGGTACAACTCAAATTTGTTTGCATAAAGTTTAGAATCCAGTTCATAACAATCATCTCATCCGTTTCCCAATCAAAATAAGAAAACTCCCCTGCATCTGGTTTCCTTATATTACCATCACTATAACCCTACTTTTTCCTGCCTCCAAAATAAACATAACAAATCTTGGCCCATTCCAGATGGTTGTACCATCAAAAACCATCGTGATTTGGAGTCTAGAGTACTCCATACTTGCCATCAGCCTGACATTATTCCTTTTTAAGGCACAAGAAAACAAATCATAGTGTTGCTGAAATCTTGATACACACATAGATTTCTCTCTAAACACTCTTCATAAACATTAAAAACACTACAAAATAATGCTAAAATCTGGATACATCCACAAATTTCTCTCTCGACACTCTTCATAAATACCAAAAACATTACATAGTGCATTGGCCAATCAATTATACAATCGTGGCCACAAATTTGAAATTTCAGACATACCACGACTGTAAGCTTATTTGATTCACATCAAACAGTTGTTGTCATCCTAAGAAATGAAATCTCAACAAATATATTCCAAGTTTCTTATAAGGAGGAAAAAACCTAATCAATGGATCACAAAAAACCTTAATCAACCCTAAGCTGGTTGATCATTGGATTCCTAATCAATGGCTCACAAAAAAACCCTAATTTTTTTTCTCTGGAGACAAACCCTAAAAGATTGATACCTTTCACAGAAAAATCAGATCCAAGAACAATCCCTAGAAAATAATACTTTGTCATAAAACTGTATATAACTCACCATGATCTTCAAAAAATAGCCTTTTAAATGTTTCTTTATTGAACTTTTTTACCATTGTCTGGCCATATTGCGAAAATCAGTAATTACATGGCCAGTATGCCACGATCCTGAATCTTACTCCTTCGATTCTACACCTTCCTCTGACACCAAGTTGAAAATATATGATTTATGTCTACACTAAACAACAACTAATTGATGGATAGAGATATAGAATAAAGATAGAGAAAAAATGACATAAGACAGAGACCGAGAAGAGAGCGTTGTGTGAGGAGAGGGAGAGAAGAAGGATGTCATCCCCTTCTTGGGATCAGTCATATGTTTCATATTAGTACTGATGAGCAAAATTACAGACAATGCCCTTGTGTGAGTGTATAACACACACTTAACCCTGTGGACTCAATTATTCCATTTATACCCCTAACTTATTGTTGTACTTTCAACATCTCAACCCTGTGGACTTCATTACTCCATTTACACCCCTAACTTATTGTTGTTATTTCAACATCTCTCTCTCTCTCTCTCTCTCTCTCTCTCTCTCTCTCTCTCTATATATATATATATATATATATAGAGAGAGAGAGAGAGAGAGAGCTTTTGGAGGTTGTCAAATATACAATGTAATCTATCAATGAAAAAACAACTTTCATGGATTGTCATTACTTTGTAGCTCAAAATATTGCATTGCATTTGTTTTTCTCGGTTCTTTTTCTTTACATAAACTATGTATATGGACTATAATATGTAATATAAAAAGAAAAGGAGTTTATTTACCTCTACAAGAAAATAAACCACTTTTTTGAATTTTTTTTCTTGTTATAATATTTATTCTACAGATCAAGCTCCGACCTAGGGGGCTTCTAGAGGGTGATGATCCCCAACTCCTGCTCTCACGAGTAATAAAATATGGTCCACAAACAAAGATAGATAACAAAGATATTATGTTTGTAGACTTTAAAGTTCTGTTTTCTTTTTTGAAGAAATAGAAGTTAAAATTTCTCACCATTCATTCACGCATATATGTGTATGTGTGCGTCCATAACTCTGTGTGCGTGTGTGTGGGGGTGAGGGGGCATGCCTCAGGTGTGCTTTACTAAACGCTACTAGTTCTTCTTTACAATTAAATTTTCCCTTATCTAAAAGAGTACACATCAAATTTCATGAAATGTCATTTTCTGTAATTATAGCCTCTTCTTGTCAGACATTCTAGACTCACTACAAAGGAGTTCTATGCAATGCTGCAGATACGAGTGTGCTTATCAATGTATATGTTGATCTTTCATTCCTATATGAGAATCAATTTTCCAAATTTGTTTCGAGTTTTATAGACCACCCAAAGGCAATGCGTTCTAAAGAGTCACCTAGGTTTGCTTCTCAGGCTACCAATCCTATGAACTTGACAGCACAAACCTAAATCTATGGGCCAGTTAAGGTATTAGAAAACTGGCATGCGGAACATTTTTTATTCATTGGCGCAAAAGAAAGTTTTGCTTATTAATTATACAACCAATAATACATGACATTGCCAATAATACATGACATTGTAAACTACGTTAAATGATAACCTGTAGTTATTTTAAATAAAATTTTCACTATTCTACATTTAAAAACATGTTATCAACTATGATCACATACAGATTCATGCATGCATAAGTACATACATACATATTTGTTTGTGTACATAAAATTGGTCACAATAATATAGTTCACAAGAGCTACATAAATACAACCACATGGAGGAATACGTGTATATGTATCATTTGTCTGTGATGTGTTGGAGCATGCTTCTAGCCTGCACAGCAGTATGTGCGCACTCATGCAAGAGAGAGAGAGAGAGAGAGAGAGAGAGAGAGAGAAGAGAGAGAGAGAGAGAGAGAGAGAGAGAGAGGAGAGAGAGTAGAGACGTACGACGTACGTAACGAACGTAACGTACGTAACGTACGTACGTACGTAACGTACGTAAGTACGTAACGTAAGTAACGTAAGTAAGTAAGTA